AGTTAAGTTCTTTCTTCCTAAATTGCAAACTAGGAAGGTCTTCGACGCTGCCGCCAAGAGCTGCGGCTGGGGTGGGACCCGTGGGCACTGCCCATGGCGCCTTACCCCAGACACACCACTCACCATGATAAGTATCATGCTATTAGAGTCCTTAATCAACCCACAAAGAGCCTACGGCAAAGGGGCATGTGCAGGCTTGAGTGGTGTAAAACCTTCCCAGATGTCTCCGGTACTCCCCGGGACTAGTCTGAGGACCCTTCCAGGTACCTCATGCTAACTCCATCAGTTTTGGTCCGTTTTCCTCTGTTCTTTTGGGAGAAGGTACCCGACCTTCTCACCCTGGCCCCCTCATATGTCCTGCGAACAGCCTCTGGTCGGACGGAGGGCAACGATATATACAGTGTTATGGACATGTCTTCCTAGACTGCATTTAACTAGTAAGACGGCAACTCCACCCATTTTGGCCCATGATGCCCTGGGCGAACCCTGGGGCCGCAGGTACCTGTTAGAAATAATCCTGCCAAGTTACAGCATGTCTGGAGTACTATAACTCCTGCCATAGTCTTCTGATCAAACTGCAAGCAAGTGCCCGTCGATCGTCATTACATAACAAACAATCCTAACATTTACAGGAATTCTTCTGGGAATATCTCTGAAGGAAGGTAGGGTAATAGTGTCCCAAAAGTAGGGTACGTATATCCATGGTGACATGAAACTGGTCTCCATGGTAGGGTAACGTGATGTTCTCAGACAGGGTAAACTCACCCGGCCCTCTGACCTATCCTTAGGCCAGAGCGGTTCTTGTCACGTTACTACCACTACTTAGGTACATCTATTCCTTAAGTACCTTCCGTTCTTAGGGATATCCGGACCATCAGATATCCCACGGATATGCGTCAGCATACCTGCCTAGCCTGCCATCTGACCTCCTGGTCTTATTTATGGGCATAGACATAGGTTACTATAGCTTACTAACATAGCGTTATTACATAAACTTGCTGAGTGGCTTGGTGCTACTGAGGTAGCCAGCGAACGTGAGGGAGCCAGTACAAACGACCATGGTATTTTACAATCTTTGGTAGTCTTCAGACTTTCCAGGATCTGTAGACCTAATGGACTTAGTTCTGGTTGTCATCTCTCCTCTCTAGTATATAGTGTCACTGGCTGAGCAAAGTTGTCAAGCTTATCTGTTACTAGGGGTAATGCAGGAGGCGCCTCTATTATCTGGACATGATTGTCTTCCGCTATCCGTATCCCTCCTTCCCCGCGTTCTCCAACTCATCTATCCATATCTTTATAGTATATTGATTCTTCAATAATGCCACGAAAGCCTCCTGCTGTCCTCTCATTCAGCCCACTGAACTCTCAACAATTTGTTTTCTAAATTGCTTCCGGGTCTTCTTGTTACCACATAAGAGTTTCTTTTTGGTGTTAGTGACTTCACCAATCACCTCACATAGGATATATGATTCAACGTAATCGTAGGCGAATTCCACAACTGAGATAGAAGGGGCTTTCTTTGATTCATCAGGAATTTCCTCGTCTTCTTCCACCAAGGGGTGCAAGCCATCTGAAATGCTTTGAAGGAAAGCGATATCAGTTACAAAGGAAAGTGCCAGAAGGATCACGTCCGTGAGGACCACACTTCTATAGTGTGAAGGGAGTTCAAAGGGTACTGTATCAAGTAGCATTTTTGTACTTGCTCCACCGATGTCTTGGGTGTCAGCTATGACTGAGGCCCTGAGGAGGGCAGCCTGTCAAGGGTTGTCATCAAGCCCAAAGCTGGTATCTGAACACCACACTTCTTCTGCAATCGTGACTGCTAAAGCAGCTATGATGAGTTAACGTCAGTTTAATCAAATAAAATCAGGAGGAGAGTTAAGCGAGACCCTCACTTAACAATATACTGTAACAATGGCTCTCTCAGGTAGATGGTTCCTAAGCATTCGACCGCACCAAACTTCGAAACTGTCAAACACAGCTCTTGCGAAGTATATACAATAAAAGTAAATGGTAAAACTTAATATCGTTAAGCACTGGCTTATCTCAATTAAAGTCTCTTAAGAGGATATTGATTGTCTCGGGGTAGGAGAGTTCTCATATAATCTTTAAGTAGTCAGACTAATACCAAAAACTCATCCATCAGGTTACTCCAACCAAGATAAATATACCCTTCTCCGTATTGGTTGCCCAGTACCATTACCATATCCCTGAAGGGTATTAGGTGTCAGCACACTCTAGTAGAAATCTCCTATATTCGTATCAGTCCCTGCAAGGTGTTTACCAATATACCTGCTAGAGTAAAAACCTTTGCGCAATGGTTTCTTGCCAGTGGCTCACTGTGGAGACACCTAGGAAAGCTAACTAAATGACTCTCTTCCCATGTGCTTTGACCCATGCAAGCACGAATAGACATCAGCAGTCTTCCAGTTAAGTTCTATCTATCTTGACTGTGAACTTGGAAGGTCTACGATACTCCAGGGGGAGCCGTGGTGGCAGCAGGACTCGTGGGCACTACCCTTGGTCCCTTGCTCCCGGCACACCACTCACCATGATAAGTATCATGCTATTAGAGTCCTCAAACTACCTACAAAGAGCCTACAGCAAAGGGGTACATGTAGGCTTGATTGGCGTAAAACCTTCCCAGATATCTACGGCAGTACCTGGGACTATTCAGGGGACCCTTCCAGATAGCTTACGCTAACTCTGTCAGTTTTGGTCAGTTTTACTCCACCCTTTTTGGAGCACGTACCTGACCTTTTCACCTTGAACCCCTTATATATCCTGCCAACAGCCTGGGTTGGACAGACAGTAGCAACCTATACAGTGTTATAGACATCTCTTCTTAGACTCCATTTAACTAGTGTGATGGCAACTTCAACCATTTTGGCCCATACCGCCCGCGGCAGGCCCTTGGGCCACTGGTACCTGTTAGGAATAATTCTGCTAAGTTACACATTGTTCGGAGCACTATAGCTCCTCCCGTAGCCTGTCGATCAATATGCAAGCAAGTGCCCATCGATTGTTATTGCATAACAAACAAACCTAACATTTCCTGCAATTCCTCTAATAACATTTCTGACTGAAGGTAGTGTAATAGTGTCTCAAAGGTAGGGTAAGTATGTCCATGGTGACACGAAACTAGTCTTCCTGGTAGGGTAACGTAACTCTCCTAGACAGGGTAAACTCAGCCCGCCTTCCGACCTATCCTTAGGTTGTAGCAGACATAGTCACATTACTTCTACTACTTCAGTGCACCTATCCCATAAGCACCTTCAGTTCCTTGGGATATCTGGACCATCAGATATCCCATGGACATGCACCAGTATGTCCACCTAGTCTACCATCCCACCTCTTGGGCTTATGTATGGGCATAGACTTAGGTTGCTATAGCTCTATTACTTAGGGTCATTACACACACCTCTGTGCCCAGCAGGATTCTTAATATTAGGACAGGTATCCATGATAAACTGTACTATGAAAAAGCTTTTCACTTCTTTTATAGTCTTTCTACTGTACTACAGAATTGTTCAAGTTTATCTACAACCATGTAACTGGGAAATATATACCAATTACCCTCTACCTTCTGTGCTTCTCAGTCATAATAGGTATATCTTTGTAATTTTCATTCTACTCTTAGTTTTCTGAACCAAATCCACAATATAAATCTGAAGGATAACAATTGAAGTTTATTTATAATCAGGAAATTACAAGTAACTAGACAGAAATAACAGTCTAGATTAATTCTTATATTTACTTTTCTCAATTAATAAATAGAACTCTCTATCATAGTTTAAAAGTTTGCAAATTTTGTAAGTGCTATTTCATGGTTCTAAACCTAGCCCTAGTATAAAAATATATAATTTTTGTATTAGCAATAAAAAAATATTGTCATTTGATAACAAATGCCTAACACACTCCAATATAAAAACTTTTATATGCCAAAAAAACATGTTATAAAAGTCACTTCTATGCCATAATAGTGACCTGCTAAACAGAGCCTAAATCTTGTGATACATCCCAATATTGGGTGGAGGCTAGAGCCCAAAGGTCCAGCAAGGGACAGTATTCAGGAATACTAGTACTGGCATAGTAGCAGAGAATACGATCGACTGCCATCTCTTTATACAAATGTCTGTACTCGAGTGCCATGAATGCAGTCTCTAGATGCTAGACATTGTTAGGTTCTCAAAGTGGGACACACAAGAATGAAGAATGCATAGATGGAGTAGTACAATTAGCTATTCCTATCTTGCTAGCCTCCAAGGCACGAATTAGGGAAAAAGTAAAGCTTTTGACTCATCAGACACATGCCTCCTGGGTCCTTATCCCCTGTAGGAGTAAACTGAGGGGTGGAAGAGATACTGGTGGTTCACGAGGCTATTTAGATACTAACATCACATTCCACAAGTTGCAGAACCATCAATAAAAAAAGTCACAACTATTCTACATGAGTGCACTGTTGGAAACAGTAAACTTACGAGAAAAAGCCTCAGTAATTAATCCAAGGATGCACTACGGGAATCAACCTTATTACTGCCTATATTAAATAGGTGGTATGGTTCTGATGTTCTCAGTCCCCTCATCCCAGCAATCTAACTGCACTTAATACAGTAGATACCAGTACTGGTACTTGTAACCATGCTTAGATGGAGGGCGCCGGGGAAATAGCTTTCCCCACCTTACCACTAAGCCTCCCACTGTGAGTTCCGAGTAGACCGCTCATCACCTGAGCGCGAGAGAACCTTTCTAAAACTAATTGTCCCACCGAGAATGGCCCAATCTATCAGATCGGCAAATTGATGACTAATCCAATGCCCCCCCCCAAAATAAAGGGCCCAATAGTCCATTCGCTCTTCGCATAGAGAGGGTTGACTTTAACCCTAGCCTAGGTTAGCCAGCCGACCAGCTAGCCTAGTTAGTTGGTTGGAACGCTTCCCTTCAACACAAAGTCCCTTCCTGCCCTCTCCCTCTTTCCCTCCCCTCCCCCTCAACAACACGATGGTTCCCCGGTACCAAGCGCTATTGGATCCAGATCCCGAAGACGCAGACGACGAGCGCTCCTTCTCGGACGCGGACGACGACGATGATTATCCGTCAAATATACCTCCGCACCTGCAACGGCACCCCTTAACCCCGACACCTCAATTCATCGGTCAGGATGTTCGGACCACGTCCCGGAAGGAGCTGATGGGGTGGTACTGGTACGGATGGGCGGCCGAGGTCTTTGTCGTGTGTGGTGTTGGCTCGTTTATTCCCGTTACCCTCGAGCAACTGGCCAGGGAGAACGGCGTGTTGTTATCGGATAAGAGCACGCCTTGCGAGTCGTCTTCGGGGTCCGGACCGGGGCTGGGACCTGGGGCTGGCGGTATCGAGGATGGGCAGGCTGGCCAATGCGTTATTTATTTATTGGGCTGGGAGATGAATACTGCTTCCTTTGCCATGTGCGACTTTACCCCCGGCAGTGTGGGGCGTTGTGGTTGTGTGGGCTAACACTCTGTTCTTGATGCTCATAGGTACACTTTTTCGCTTTCTGTCTTGCTTCAGTCTCTTATCATTGTTTCTATGTCTGGTGCTGCAGATCATGGTGAGCTATCTGTATAAACTCCCCTGGAGGCTGGGTTCCGCTATCTGTATAGTGTGTGTGCGCGCGGGCGGGGTTAACTGCTGCCGCTTTTTTAGGAGCTTATAGGAAACGACTGTTACTCGCGTTCGCCGCCGTTGGGAGTCTTGCTACTATGGCTTTTATCACGGTTTCTGCAAGGTATTACCTTTTCGCCGCATTGTGGGCTATCCTTGGGAACATCGGTTTTGGAGGATCATTTGTGCTACTGAATGCATTTCTCCCAGTGCTCGTACGGCACCATCCGAAATTGGTGTATGAGGAACCACTCGTTCGCGCAACCACCACAATCAACGTTCGATCGCCAGACAGCGATGAAGACCAATCGTTATTGGGGTATCAGGAATCCTTATATGAAGATGGTAAGAATGGCGGGGCTCTGGCGCTGAGTACCCAAATAAGCAGCATTGGAATCGCTGTTGGGTACACAGCTGCGGTCATACTGCAAATATTCGCCATTGTGATCGTACTCTTGACTGGATCCACCACCTGGTCCCTTCAGCTTGTTCTGTTTTCTATCGGAGCTTGGTGGTTTATATTTACTATTCCCACAGCCGTGTGGCTGGAACCGAGACCTGGCCCGCCCCTTCCGCCACTTCCCAGACCAGCATCAAACGGGTCTCCCCTTGGTCCTACCCTATTGGTTGTAGATGATAGGAGCTGGTGGGGATATGTCAAGTATGCCTGGGTGGGGCTGGGGAAGACTATCATGAGGGTCAGAAGGCTCAGGGACGTCATGCTATTCCTTGCGGCCTGGTTCCTCGTGAGCGACGGAGTGGCCACTGTCAGCGGCACAGCCGTGTTGTTTGCAAAGACTGTATGAAGGATTACTCCTTGAAACCGCGTAATACACGCGATACTAACCGATCACATGATAGAACCTCAAGATGAAACCGGCTGCCCTAGCACTGATATCTGTTATATCAACTATATCAGGAGTGGGGGGTGCCTTTGCCTGGCCAAAAATAGCTCAATCGTTCAACAGAACCCCCAGCCAGACAATCCTGATATGTATCCTAGTCTTCGAGTTCATCCCGTTGTACGGCCTACTCGGTTTCATTCCGGCCATCCAGCGTTCCGGCATCGGCGGACTGACCAGCCCCGCAGAAATGTACGGCCTAGGCGCAGTCTACGGATTTGTGCTGGGAGGGGTCAGCGGGTATTGCCGTAGTGTTTTCGGAGAATTGAGTACTCTCTCTGTCTCTCTATCTCTCTCCTTCCCTTTCCCCCCTCGCCCCTTATCTAACGTGGCAGCTAGTACCCCCCGGCTTCGAAGCAGCTTTTTACGCCCTCTACGCCGTAACCGACAAAGGCTCTAGCATCTTCGGCCCAACAATCGTCGGGGCTCTAACGGACCACTACGGGGACATCCGTGTGGCATTCTGGTTCCTGGCCGTCTTACTCGCCCTGCCCATCCCGTTGATCGCGGCCGTGAACGTTGATCGGGGGAAGCATGAAGGGAAGATGCTCGCTGAGGAGGAACTGAAGATCCCCTTACCGGCCCCTCCCTCTTCCCCTAATGGCGTTGTATAGCAATTGTTGAGGTTGTCGGTATGGGGAGGTTTACTGCTAAGAGAGGGGAATGTTTGTGCATAAGTTACTCTGGCTACGTTTGAGTGTTTAGCGTAGAGCTCCTTGTTTTTAATTTCTAGTTTTATTGCTCCTTCTTACTGGTTTTTTTCTTTCGCTGTTTTCTCTTTCGATGAGGCAGTCACTCCTCTGCTCTTTCATCCTCCGTCCCGCTATCTGTTTATTCCTCACGCAGTTCTTTTTTGTAATGAAGCTATGAGCATAGTCCGGGTTAGTGTAATACGGGTCTCCACGAACGCCACCATCACAGGAGTGGGAGAGGGAATCAGGGAGAAAAAGAGATATTTGTGCAAGGTTCAGGCATAACGGGAGCTCTGCGGAGTAGGGTTGCGGCGGGGCGTGTGCGGGACCAGTAGACTAACGGACGGAGGGCCATTGCGCGGGTGGCAAACAAAGTGCTGAGGCCGGGTAACTACTTAGTCTTCATGTCCCAGGTCTCACCTCGCTTAACTGGTTTAGGGCGCGTCTGGTTGCCAACCGTTTTTCAAACCTTCGTAGACCGGGGTTGCCCTCAGCGAGGCGGAGCCCTGAGCGAGGCGCGGCGCTTTAGGTGTGGCATGATGTGGCAAGGCAGCAACCAGGTACCCACCAATGCAGCTAGCTCTCATATCATAACTGACATACCCATGTTTCATATAACTGATCACCTTTCCTCCAGCTTCCATCCAGCTTCCATCCACCTTCCGTCCAACTTTTTTCCATTCTGCCTCCGCTTTCCCTCTCTACCTTTCCTCTGTCTTCCCTCTGTCTTCCCTCTCTGCCTTCCCTCCTCCATCCCCTCCCATTCCTCTTCTCTCACAACACTAACATCCTCTATCGAAATGGTCAGGAAAACCCCCCCCCCCCTACATCTGAATACAGAAAGGCCCAGGAGCAGGAGTGGGAGTTGTACTTACTTCATTCCTGTTCTGATCATGACCTTCAACAATTTCAGGTGTTTGTCTAAACAAACCTTCCACCTTCAAACTACTATCATCATTTCTGTCTTCTGCGCTCTCAATATCACGGGCATGCAAATCATTGACATGCTGCTCAAGACTTACCAACCTTGTTGTTACACATAGAAGCGTAATCGGTGCGACACGTGACTAAATGCATAAGGTCCCGTGTTCGACTCCGGGCCCCGCCGTAGTATTCGTAGCGCATGATATGACAAGGCATCTATGCAGCCCGCTTCGCGGAGATACGAGGCATGCGACCGAGGGGTTTTCGCTGGATAACATAGAAGGAGCTCTACTCTACAAGATAAGACTTAGTTGGTTCAGATTGGTCGGTTAGTTATTGAGCTACGACCTCTGCAAGTCTATATGCAATTACAAGAAGTAATATGCATGTCCCTTCAGCTCGCGTAAGCTAGAGTCATCTGGAAGACCTAGTTACGATTGGTTAATAACAACTCACTGGTCGAGTTAGTTATCTTCATCATGCACTCTAAGCTATGCACATAGAAGAGTCATTGATAAGTCCTTTGACGGAGCTGATCACTCCACTCAGGAAGAGAGCGGGGAAGTTAGTTTTCAGGGTCAAACGAAGTTCGCACTCCTAAGACACTGAAGAGTTAGTATGGCAGGTACATAGTCAATAAGGGATTTAATGTAGGCCGCGACCACCCAGACGCGGAATATAAATATCGAGATGCCTCCCTAGCTTTAAGTCCACGCTCCGCGCCCTCTACTTTCCTCTCGCTTGAAAACATTACCGCTTTCGGCCAGGTAAAACTCCAGGGTTTTGCGTGGCAACCATCTCCACACTCCTAATTCCTTCCTCGCTTAGGCTTCAGTCTCTAAGTGCACAGCCCCCTCACTACCCCGCACAGCCCCCTTCATCATGGAGGGGCCTGGTCCGGGCCCTTCAAGGTCTGGCTCCCGAGCCTCCAGCCGTGCCTCGCCCTACGAGTCCAGGGCTCCAACCCCCTCTCTCCCCGATAATCTCACCCTGATAAGGGATGAACTTGCCCGCACTCTCCGTCAGATAGGACAGGCAGCCCCCCCGATTCCCCCCCCAACCGATGCCCAGCTCCACCACTTATCTGCTGGCGAGGTCATCCTCCTACCACTTGTCTGCACCGCCCTTTCTGGGATTGGCAGCATCATCCAAAGGCTAGAGGCCCTCGAACAGTCCTCCTCGGCTGCCCCCAAGGATCCTCCCTCCCTCCCTGCATTAGAAGCTTCCATCCGTGACCTCTCTCTGAGAGTCACGGCATCAGCTGCCCGCCCCTCAGCCGCTGAGCTGGGCCCTCCCCCTCCCCCCCCTCCGAAACAGGCAAGACGCCCGCTGCCGCCCCCCCCTCCTTCTGCTCCACGTGGAGCAATGTACCGCCCCCCTCCCGGCTATGTCCTAGATATTCTGGTTGAGGACATCGACTCCCCCGTGCAAGTTGACGGAGTGTGGTATGGTAACCCACGCACCTTCGCGGCCAGACATCCCCGCTCCTATGCAGCCTTCCAGTTCGTGCCGGGTCAATTCCCGGAAGAAGCTACTTTCCGCCCAGGCCCCGCACCCTCCTTCCTCACACTAGTCCCGCCCTCCTCCTCCTACGCCAGCGCTGCAGCCCCTCCTAGGGGCACGGTACAACAGCCCAGCGCCAAGGGCAAGAAGAAAGCGACCACTGCAGCCCAAGTCGCGGCGTCGGGTGGTGCTCCCTCCCGGGTTCGGGAGGCTGCCCCCCTTCCTGCTGCCGAACGCCGCTTCTTTGCCCCCCGAACCGCCCCGGTGCCACTGTAACGACCCTACGATATAGAGCTATGGTAACCTATGTCTACGCCCATACAAAAGACCAAGAGGTTTGCTGGTAGACTAGGCGGGTATGCAGGCGCATGTCCGAGAGATATCCGATGGTCCGGAGATCTCTAAAGGAACAGTAGGTACTTAAGGTTTAGTGTACCTAGGT